GAGTTGGGCTGGAGTTACCTTCACTCTCAACTGTCACTGATCATCACTGCTAATTGACTTGTGGGTCAGGCCGCGTGAGTGGAAATTCCAACGGCGCGCCTTAAAGCCCTCTACCACCCGACACAGCTGAATAAGAAAAGTCGTCGCGTGAATACATTTAAATGCGTATGAAATAAAAATTAATACATTTAAATTTTTTAATAAAGATATGTAAAAACATATGAAATAAAAAAATACATTTTTTTTACATTAAAAAAACGTACAAAATAAAAATGTATTAAATAAAAATATGTGCATTTAAAAACATTAAATAAATACATTTTAAAACGTCGATGCGTGAATACATTTAATAATGTATACAAATGTATAATAAATGTTTAATATTACATAAATTAATAAAAAATGTATAAAATGAAAAGGTATAAAATAAAAATATATGTTTCATTCTGTTTTGTTATAAATCCATTTAAAACACAAAATATAAATAAATGTAAAAGTAAATGAATTGAAAATTTTACAAATAAAAACGTATAGCGTAAAAATGAACGCATTTAGCAAAATTAAACAAATACATTTTAAAAACGCGTTAAAAGAAAAACCGTCCTCACGTGAGCACATTTGTTGACGACGTTTTTTGCCCGGAAGTAGCAACCAGCATCACGATTCTGGCAGTCGCTCGACGTTGATGGCAAGAACTAACGGCGAATTGTCCGGACCCAAGAGTTAAATGTGTGTGTGTGTGGAACGCTCTCCAAATCTCCGATTAGATACGTCGCCACATTTTAAATATGTACTTAAAGCATGCGCCGATGCTTGTTTGAGCCTCCTAAATGTCAGTACATCCCCTTTCAAGGCCTCAGGCAATTAGTTTAATTGCAAAAGGTTTCTAAAGGTTTCCGAATGGTGCTTGGTAGGCGTTCCAAGCTAACGCGAAAGCATTATTAAAAGGGTTCACTCCTAAGGACAATGGCACCTACGCCTTCCTCGAGGACTGTATGGACGTGTTTTTTTTCAATTGCGACCACTAACAGCGCGATTTGTTTCATATGATTCGTGCATACGGACGGGGATTCACAATAGGCATTAAAAATGGCCATGTTTTACACGTTCTATTTTACCTTCAAAAAACTTTCTTTGTCTGAGCTTTAACGTACGCACATGTATCTGCGTTATACATCCATTAATGTTTGTACGTTCGCATGCGCATGTTCATCTCAGGAACCAAGATACGCACGGAAATATATGCTGCGTTAGTTAACGGCCCTCTGTCAATCCACTGCTGGATGTGTCGCTTATCGCGGTTGATTTACTATACTTCACCCTGCTGGTCAGTGGACGTTGGTGAGGGGAGGGGAGGGTTCAGATATCACTCAACGCTCATGTTAGCCGTGACTGAGAATAGAACCCAGGTAACCAGATTTAAAGGGCAGCACGCTGACCACTGCAACACCGCCCCACCCGCTTACGAACCCCTTCATGGAACCCTCGCCACATTTATTTGCGTTTGGTCACAGTGGGAGGAATATATTACCTCTGTCGAAATAGCCTTTTGAAAATGTTGACATCAGCAAAAAAGGACCCACCGGCAAATAAAAAATAGCACGAGATAAAACCCCCCCACGTGACTTCACACTTTACCGAGAGTGCGTTTTGTTTTGTTAGTATTCCAATATCCACACCAAAAAAATATCTCTTTGTGGAGGAGGGGTGGCATAGTGTTCAGCACTCTGCGGTTTCAATATGGGACTCTTTGGCCCTCCTCCACCAAACTGCATTTGACCCACGTGGTGAAGTATGGTCAAACAACCCCCGTAACCGACACGGTGGGACACCTTCATCCAGCAGTCCATTGAGAGGGAGCTAGACAACTTAATGTGCAGGGTGGCCCAAAAGTCAGGACAAAGAGAGTTAGTTCATTTCGTTTAATTACATTTTTATTGTTTATTCATTAAGTTAAAATACGATATATTATCATTTTTAATATCTATTTTTATTGTTCCTGTAGGGGGTCACCTCGAAACTGTCGTTGACAAAACTCGACAAAGAAACCTGAATGACAAAATATAATCAATGAATGTGTTTTTTTTTTAAAGATTACACAGCTGTAATCTGAAGAAAAAAAAGACAAAATTAATTTCAAAAGATAATTCACGTATGCATTAATGGGATTCAATTTAAACATTTGTTAAAATAAATTAAATAACCCTACGTTATTTGTTTAAGTAAATCAAATGACCCTATTTGTCCTGACTTTTGGGCGCCACGGTGTCTAGGAGATGTTAACTACCTCGCCTGGTATACAGGAGTACGTGGGTTCGATCCCGACCCTTGATGCCTGCTGTATATTTGGAGTTTGCGTGTCTCTCTCTCTCTTTCTCATCTTCATCACGGTGGCTAGGAGATGTTAGATACCTCGCCTGGTATACAGGAGGACGTTGGTTCGATCTCGACCCTGATGCCTGCTGCTGTATATTTTGAGTTTGCGTGTCTCTCTCTCTCATCATCACGGTGGCTATGAAATGTTAACTACCTCGCCTGGTATACAGGAGGTCGTGGGTTCGATCCTGAACCTGACACCTGCTGTATATTTGGAGTTTGCGTGTCTCTCTCTCATCATCATCACGGTGGCTAGGAGATGTTAACTACCTCGCCTGGTATACAGGAGGTCGTGGGTTCGATCGCGACCCTGACGCCTGCTGCTGTATATTTTGAGATTGCGTCTCTCTCTCTCATTATCACCACGGTGGCTAGGAGATGTTAACTACCTCGCGTGGTATACAGGAGGACGTGGGTTCGATCCCGACCCTGACACCTTTAGATTTAGCACTTCGCATATTCTCCTCGTGGTCGCGTGGATTTTTCTCCAGGTCCTCCGGTTTTTCCCTTCCACATTTAGAAGCAACGTGCCTTCAGAGTGTGTGGCCGCTGTAAATGTGTGGCCAGCTCGCGTTCTGAATGAGAGCCGTGCAGCTCAGCGGGCCTTTACCCGCTAAAATAAAATAAAAATAAAACACCGCGAGATTTCTAGAGACGTGCGACCGAGACACAAAAAAAAAATCATCTCGCGTGCGGTTTGTCACCCTGCCATTCCGGCGATTGCCGCCCGAACGGCGAGGGCTTTGCCGCTCTGTGCGCTCGTCCATTTGTGCGTGTAATGTCTGCAGGCTGCGTATTTTACACCCCATTTTGTGCCACCGCTCCGCTTCCTACACATCTCCCCGTCCCAGCGGTAATCTGCGGAAAGCAACCGGCGAGCTCCGGTGTCCCATCGGTGGCTCCGAGTTCTGCTTCGCACGGATGATGGGGCTTCAGTGCGTGCGTGCGCGTGTGTGTGCGCGCGCACGTGCGTGTGCGTGTGTGTGTGTATGCGTGGCTGTCTGTTTGTTGTCGTTGTTGGCTGTCCGTGGGGGAGCGGCGGTGCAGCGGTTAGCCGCACTTGCAACTCAGCTAGCTGAGTTCGATTCCCTCTCATGGCCAACACCAGTGACGATCATTTGAACCGCTCCTAGGCCTCCCCCTAGGTCGACTCAGCATCAAATGAGTAGCTGGTGCGATGTATAAAACATCGGCACGGGGGAGACAAAGGCGACCGGGCGTGGTCTCGGCCTTCATAACGGCTCGCTCACAAACACTTGCTCCAAACGTCTGTTATGGCTCTAGGGGGATCTTTGTCTGGAGCAGAGGCATCGTGGGTAGTGTTGCTACCTGTCCTGGTTTTCCCAGGATCATACTTTTTTTTAAGCATCTGCTCTGGAAAATCTGAGTCTTCCCTGCGTGTTGTCAGTTGCGTACCAATGCACCGCTCGCAACAATGAACCACCACGCTGTGTTCCCGATCCTCATCCGCTCCTCTGAGATATTCTCTGCTCGTGATCCGTCCCGTGTTTTTTAGCGCCTCCGAGGTGGTGTGTGGTTAGTGCACTGAGCAATGGACCCAGCGACGAGTTTAATTCCCGGCCAACGACTGACATCGGTGGCGATTATATGAAGTCCTGGGCCTCCCCTAGGTAGACTCAGCCTTAAATAAGTTACCTGCTGCGATGTGTAAGCATCAGTACTGAGGCGGCTGTGGGTGGCGGTAGCCACAGCAGGGGGGGGGGGGGGTGGGGGGGAGATATTTGACCATACTGGGCACAGTGTGCCTTGGTAAAGGGGCATCCCAGGACCGGTTTAGATATTGCTCGCCATTGATGTTAACCGTGGCCGGGAATTGAACTCAGGTGGCTGGGTTCAGAGTGCAGCGTGCGGGAACCACTAAACCACGACTCAGCACCACCCCCCCTCCCCCATACGTGTTATTATGATGATTCAGGTTAACCTCGTCCATGTCGCCTAGATGATGGCATTGCACGTATCTATGTTGAACTTATTTTGCAGCGTCCGTAGTCAACTGTACTAATCGAAGGTGCTTTAAGGTAACATGGAGGCACGAAACAGGTGAAGCCACTGCGAGAAAGGATTTTAAACTCTGAACAACTGCGAAGTTGCCTCTATGTGTGAGAGATCTTCCTGAGCGGGGAGAAAACACGCAAACTCCAAATATGCAGCAGGCGTCAGGGTCGGGATCGAACCCACGACCTCCTGCGTACCAGGCGAAGGAGATCACTAAACTGTAAACTAAACTCGTTTTTTTTTATTTTATCAGGTAAATCCCACTGAGATATATGCAGTAGCTCTGTTTCAGAAGCGTCCTGGCCACCAATCAAAGCTGAACGGAGTAGCTTATCAAGTGGCAATGTATAGCAGACAAATACTCTAAACGCGTGATGTCGATTCTAAACGTGGAGGGGAAAAGCTGGAGGACCCCGAGAAAAATCCACGTGACCACGTGGAGAACACGCGAACTCCAAATATACGAGCGTCAGGGTCGGGATCGAACGCACGACCTCCTGTAAACCAGGCGAGGTAGTCAACATCTCGCCACCGCGACGCTTTCACCGACGCCGGCCCCCGTCACGCGCCGACCTCTCTCCTCTCCCCCGTCTGCGTCGTCTCGTCAGGCCCCGTGCCGGCGGTGATCGGCAGCGAGGACTCTGCGAGCCCCCTGCACCATCACCACCACCACCACCACCACGGCGCGTCGGGTGGCAGCGGCTCGTCCATGGACGGCGGCTCGGACACGGTCCTCATCGGACTCAAGCGCATCCCCGTGATCGAGAACCCGCAGTATTTCCGCGCGACGCCCGCCTTCCTCGACTCGCCCGACTCCTGCTCCAGTGAGTAAGCGAGCGGTCCCGGTTGACCCCAACGGGGACGACGTCCGGCGATCGTTGGTGCTGCTGCTGCTGCTGCTTCCGGCTGCTGCTCGTGCTGCAATGTAGTTGCGGGACTCTGCGGTGTTGTCTCGGTGCGAACTGGGACTTGTTCATGTTTTTACCACAGCTCAACGTGAGCCCGGTACGATAGGCCGATCGCAACCGGTGGGGGGTGGAGGTGGGGGGGACAGAAACTTTTGTGAATGACATCCCGATCTCGGCGCGACAGGGAGAAATGTGGGCTCAACTTGGACTGTTGTTGTTGTTGTTTTGCTGCCTTACCCCAAGGGTTGCATTTGGTGTTGACAAATCGACAGGAATTTACGCACATGCGCAATTTGTATCCTTCTGTACGCTGTTTATTTTTTTAGACACTTGCTTACCTTTCCTCCATCTTTCTCAGATATCCTTTTTTTAAATGTATTGTTTGTTGTAACTTTGCTGACCCCGCACCCCTACTGGACATCTGTGAAAAAGAGCTTAATAACTCATCGGATTCCTCGTCCGGCACGAATTAAGATTCTGAAAGCGCGTTGGCAGTGGTGCACGCGCGCAATTAATGAACCCAAGCGCGCATTTACCAAGTAGCCGATTCCTACACCGATTATCGGTTCGTTTAAACAAATGTTCCAAACTTTGTATAAATTACTTCACCCGCAAATGTGTTAGTTAGTTGGCAAATATCACGTATAAATATTTGCCCCCTAACAGCATGCTCAATTTGCAATAAATACCGCATGCAGACAGGCATACAGGTTATCAAGGCAAGTGCTGTTAGCGAGCAGCTATGAAGTCCGGAACGACACACAAGGGGGTGGGTGGCCAGCACCACGCCCGGCCGCCTTTGTCTCCCTTCTGGCCATGTTTACATATACATTGCACCAGGCACTCATTTTAGACTGAGTCGACCTCGGGGAGGCCCAGGACCGTACTGATGTTGGCCGTGAGCGGGAATTGAACTTGGGTCTCTGGGTTTGTAGCGCAGCGCACTAACTGCTGTGATACCGTGCTACCGCTCCCCACAAACCCCACACACATACACAGACGCTCATTATATACTTAACTACTGCGGCAAGGTCACGGGAAGGTGACCAGTAACAAAGGAGGTTGCAACGGCAGTTAAATCACTTTGTATTTTTAGTTGTGTGCATCAGCTGCAAGTGTGTGGTTAGCAGGCCAGCATTCACCGCGAGATACCTGACCATCGCAACCTGATCGAGATGTTAACTACCTCGCCTGGTATACAGGAGGTTGTGGATTCGATCCCGACCCCTACGTTTGTATATTTGGAGTTTGCATTTTCTCCCCGTGGTCACGTGGGTTTTTCTCCGCTGCCTCCGGTTCTTCCCTTCACATGCAGAAACGTGCGCTTCGAGTATTTGGTTGCCATAAATTGTCCACGTGATAAGCCGCTTCGTTGAGCTATCATTTGTGGCCAGGTCACCTCTGAAAAAGAGTTATATAGCTCAGTGGGTCCGTTACCCGGTAAAATAAAAAAATAGGGTAGCGTTATTATATCCAAGCTATATATCGATAGCAACCACCTCCAAGCAAATCGTTCAATTGGTCACAATGTGGGGTAATGATGGAACTGCAAAAATCTACTGTGATTCTCTTTTGAGTTATAGCCACCGTTTTATTCCTGTTGTTGTACGTTCTTCTTCTGCTGCTGCTTCTTCTTTTTCTTCTTCAATAATTATCGACGCATAGGCTAATGCAACGCTCAATTGTAGTTGATGGATCGATGCATAGTTAAATACTTGTCTCCATATGGGCATGGTGGGACATTGTCATGAATTACCCCATGCAAACTAAATTTTCCATCTTGATTTGAAGCTTTCATGACTGCAGGAATCCATCCTCTTTGGTTCTTTCGGTAAAGTCACGTGGGTATAAAATATTAAATATTTATTTTGGTCATGTCACGTAGGTATAAATATTTTATATTTTGAAGAACCAAAGAGTGTATATTTTCCATAATACAGTTTTTTTTTGGGTTAGATCGCATAAAAAAATATAAATGTGTCGTTAAACCCGCCACCACCCGCCACAGCCAATTAGTAAGGTTTGTCACGTGCATACATAGAACATGCCAATTCGTTACTAGTACAGCACACCGGTGTGTTGGAGAGCCAAGCCACCACATTTACAATCCGAGTACGTCGCTTCGCCAGTAATTACAACCAGCTTCATCAGGCGACAGCCAGAAACGACATTTTGTACGAGATCACACAGCGCTGCGGTGCCTGACAACATTTCTCTCTTACGCAGCTTTGTTTTGACCATGCCTTGTCAAACACATTCTTTATTTTCCCGGCGCATGTTGATGCTTCTCAGGTGTATCAAGCACCCGGTATATATACGAGCTAATCTCTTTGTCTGATCAACTGGGTGACCTTCAACTATTAAGGGCACGCATAGATGTGTGTAATGCCACATTTGCTGTGTTGATATTTCAAATTAAATGCCATGTATTTTTTTTATTTATTCTAAGTGCTGGGCCATTCATGTAAATGTTATGTAAAGTACTCGGACGTGCCTGTGCTCATATGAAGTGCCCCGTGTAAATAAAGGTGCGTATTTATTCATCCTACGGTTGAAGGCGGTGCACAAAGCACCCCACCGCAATTTCAACACTTTTGTCAGTTGCGGTGCCTTTAAAAGAAGGAAAAAAGAAGCACGCGCAGAATATCCGTTAAAAAAGAGTCAAAATTGAAATGGGCGACATAGCAGAAAAATAAGGCCCCGTTATTCAAAATGTCACGTGTCACGCGTGTGTGTTTACTTAGTCAACAGTGTTGTTGACGGACGCGTGGGGATTTTTCCGCCGTATAAAGATTTGATCCATTCGTAGTCTGCGAAGGAGGCATTTGTCATCGAAAATTAATTGACTTTCTTTAATTGAAGAGTGGAAATTTACATTATGTATCACGTACCCAGGAGGGGCCAACAAACCGACGCTTCGAATCGTGAGCACACACCCAGACATAATTCCCACGCAGCCGGGGTCGATCTTGCAACACACATCAACAACAAAAATCAACAAAACTTCCGGCTTGCCGGGCACGCAGTACTTATTAGAATTAAAATAATTTTTAATTGTTTTGATATTTTACAGATTTCCCACCGCACGTCTGAGCTACGTGCAAGATAATGCAGAGCCGGTATCGGAGTACCGTCTTAAGTTGGCGTTGTTGACTGGGGGCGGCGGGGGGGGGGGGGTACGCTAATCCCCGCTTGGGATGACTTGGGCCATTGGCTAAATAGGTCTTAGGGTAACAATGGCACTCGCTCTAATGCTGAATAAATGAAGAGAGCATTTTTAAAAGATATAATTAACTACTTTTCCTCGTACAATTATCAGTCTTGCATTGTGCACAATTAGGCAGGGAGAGATCAATATTTATAGCGGAAAAAATCTGAAATTAATTGCGGGCAATTTTGTCACTTGCAAGGTTCATCAGAGATCACCTGATGATGCAGGCAGTTATGAGAAGGAAACTGGCACTATTTAGACACGTTCGTAGGATGAACTACGACAGGAACATTGCAAGTGTGTCGTTCGGAAAAAAATGGAAGCGACAGGAAAGAGAGGAAGTCCTCACGGAGAATGGCTTGGTGACGACGTCGCAAGAGATTCGTGCCAGAAAGACGTGGCCACCACTTGAACATGTTGGCACACGACAGAGGAAACGTGGAAACAAATGACGACATGTGCAGTGGACACCTACGGGCTACCTGCCCATGAATCGTGATGATGATGATGGCCTGCTCGGTATAGTTTCTTGCACATCGCCTCTCATCGCACGCCACACAATCCCACCATCGTGCAGCATAGCCGTGCGACGGTGAAATTCGGCATCGCGTTTCTGACTCCACCCCCCCCCCCCCCACTACGCTCATGGCTTGAGCCAGAGGGGCAGCAGGTGGACGGGTGATCATTCACCGGACGCCCCTACTCATCCCGACGCTGATAAACTCAAATTGGCATCACGCGGTGGCAACATCGCCGCCCCCCCCCCCCCCCCTCGTCGAATGCGAAAACAAATGTTGACAGGACCCTCCAGAAATGAGTCTCGAGACTCGGCGAGGCTGAAATACGCCAAATGAAGTAAAAAAATACTAATTTGTAATAATGTGATCGGGTTTTTTGTATTATTCTGTGTAGTCATTGGAGGTCAGGCTTATAATTGCTCCTCACTCCACTCGAAAACGTGGCTTAATCATGGGTGCACCCCGACACTCGGATTCAAACCCAGGCTCTCGACATTGCCAGCAGACTACTCTGAGCCCCTGAACCAACTGCTGCCCACCTCCACCCCCCCCCCCCCCCGTGACACCTAACCGTCGTCACGTAATTAATGGTCAGACCATCTGCGTATATTCGACGTAAAGCCACTTAACGTTTGGTTTCCCGATGACGTGCGATCCTAGTCAACATTAAAACGATCGATGCGTCGTTACAAACCCACTATCCAGCATGGACCCCCCCCCACCACCACCACCACCACTTGCCTTCACGGACTGTCTTTATACTTCGCACATCCCCATTGACGCCTGTAAGGCCCCCTGCCCTGCTCCCAGCGATCCCCTGTCGAGAGACCTCTGATGTAGGATGTGGGATTGATCATTTGACACGGATGTTTGCAATCCGCAGTATCAAACGGCACCACCTTCAGTGTCCTCGCAGCTGGACCCAACGCTTTCCACAACTCTAGCCGCGTCCCCAGAATCACAGCGCGATTTCGACGGCTTGCGTGACGGCGAGTGGGATGCTGGAGGGGGGTGGTGGGGGGGGGGCAGGCGGTGGGGGTGCGGGGGGTGGGGGAAGGTCACTCGGCTCTTAAGCTCCCTCCAAGGTTAAAGCGAGGGTTCGGATTAGAGGTGGGGGCACGTGCATTGCAGCACGTGAGTGCGGGAGGATTGAGAAAGGGGGAGTGTGCGTTGGGTTGTTATTTATT